ACATAATTACATAGCTATAATGTACATTCAGAAAATTCAGTGAATAAGTTATGACGACTAAAACGTACATAAGCAGTAATTACACTTCCGAAATGAAAACCCATCAAATTGACTGCTGGGGAGCTGCAGTGTTAACCAGAGGAGGGGCAGACGGATGCTTAGCTCTTCAGTGTACATGGCAGAGGCTGATGGACTGGATTTTTTTTTTCTTAATTTTCTTGTAGGAGCAAAGACTTTCAGATTGATCGATGGTTCGCGTGTGGAGCTTTGAAGCTGCGAGAGTTTAATGAGAAACTGAGGCTTCACTCTTTATGAACGTAATTAATCAATGCATCTTAAAGGATGGCTAAACACCAGTGTCCAGCCTTACTCTGCCCACATGAACATTTTAAAATGTTCTCTGTAAAGGGCGTTGCCTGGATGACCAGGGGACAAGAAGGGGGGGCTTAGAGTTGGGCGTGTTCCCACACAAATACAATCAGACAGTTGTCATTGCTGCCTAAATGAATAGATAGTTTACACACCATAACTTCTCATTCCACCCTTGTTCACACACAAAGACAATTGTAGAGCCACAGCAATTGTGGCTATCAACTGATGTTATTTTATTTTAAACCACTAGATGTCGCTATGATACTCCAACAGGGGCATGTCTGAGAAACGCAGGTCACATATACCAACTGACGTCACACATTACCCCAGAGCCAATGGAGAGGCCAGGCATCAAATACGAATGTAGTTCCACCAAAAAGGTAAGGAGGGCGCCACACAGACAGTTTTGGGTCAAAAAGTGAGATTTTTCTCATTTGCACTAAAATGTCAAAAAAAAAAAAAAAATGACCAGGTTCAGTATAGAGCACTATAAGAAACATATGCAGTTTATCAGATAAATAAAGTCGATTTGTTGTTTAGTTGTCCTTTGGTGGTATGGTGAAAATACTGCCAATGATTTGTTTGATTAGTCGACTACTAAAGCAGTTAGGACGAGAGATTAAAGTACAACTCACCCTCAAATCCACTTTTTTTTGCTGATAAACGATTTAAATTGTGTCCAATAGTGTTGTCTACATATCCTGGTCATAGTTTTTTCACTTTGGTGCAAATTAGTTGAAAGTTAAACTTTCTGCCTAAAACCGTCTGTGAGGCGCCATCTGCTGGCGACCTGTATTACTACATTTGAATTTTGAATCTGGCGCCAACACTGGCACAGAAGTTGGACCTGACGTCTGCAAGTTGGACCTGACGTCAGCAGCCCCCCGCCCAGAGCAATATAAACGGCCCAGTCTCGTTCACGCCCCCTTCAGTCCTCCAGGCTACGCCCATTTAGAGGAAGATTTGAACAGGAAATGTGAGTGACGTAAGCTCCGAGGAGCGGGGGTGAGAACCACTTTAACAACTGAAGAGGCAGCTCTGCGTGTTGCCTAGTTTTCTTAGTTGCGCAACACAGTATTGTATTTGTTTTGCACAGTTCATACACAAGGCAACTCAAGTGAAGTTGTGACGAGAGCGTGCTTTTGAAGGTTGAGGAGGTGGAAGTGATCGCAAGTCCTTAGTAGACAAAAGTGGTGCCAGATTGAACTCTTTGCAAGACTGTAAAAGTGTTTCCGCTGGAAGTTACCGCTTTTAAACATTTGCTTAATTGGCGTAAGTTGGCACAGGTTGGCAGTGCTGTGTGATTGGCCGAGGGTGAAAGAGGTCCGGCTTTGATGGGCTGCAGCAGGGAGACTACCGGACTGAATTTACGCAGGCTGCATAACATGGAGAACACGATGTAGAATTTACCATAGAATAGACGTGTAATGAGTCCAAAAATAAAAATTCATGATCATGTGTTAAACTCTAAATCCTTTGGGGAGCTCCTTGAAACGGGCTGTCGAGCTAAGTTGGAGACCCCTGCTTTTAAAATGACTTACTTCCTTACTTTCTTACTTACATTAAATGACGCACATTAGTCATATTTAAATTAATGTGTGTGAGAAAAGGCACAACATAGTATTTTTTCTGGAATCGCCAACTTTTTTCCCCACCCTCAATATGTATTATTTGTCTCTATTGTTCTTAAACCCTCCCAAACACAAAGTTATGGCTTGAACACACATCTCCAGCTTCTCTCGGGTTTCCCATATTAGCAGGGTGCTTGGGAACCGACTCTGAGCCGCCAGCAAATGTATTCATCAAACATCATTAACGTCGAAGTCGCACGGATCTCTCCCACACAATAACCCCAGCCTTCAGTCAGATCACAGGTACATCTGTAATAGTCTAATTTGACAGTCTGTAATTTACCTCACACATACTACTTGCGTAAGTGTGTTATTGTTTGATTACCTGGAAGAGACTCGTACAGATCTGTGTTGATAATGAGCTCCTGCAGTCAGATCATGGCTAATGCTTTAATTACAGACACGTCAAGAAAAATCAAACAACTCTTATATATTCATGAAGATATTTTAATTGTGCTGGAGACGGTAAGCATGCAAGGAATGCCAGAGCACAAGGCAACGGTTGTATTACTAGTGTGTTCCTACTTTCTTTGTGTGTGTCACTGTTGATCCTCTTTGCTTCATTTGGAATTGAGCAAATGTGACTGGTAGTGTTCATTGACTGAGAATTCTGTGAATGGGAAAGGATGCTAAAGCGGAAATTCAGACAGGAGTAACTAATAATAATAATAATAATGCATTGGTTTTATATAGTGAAATTTTGCTGCACTGTGATTATTTATGATTTACAGTGCCTTGCGAAAGTATTCGGCCCCCTTGAACCTTTCAACATTTCGCCACATTTCAGGCTTCAAACATAAAGATATAAAACATATTTTTTTTGTCAAGAATCACCAACAAGTGGGACACAATCGTGAGGTGGAACTAAATTTATTGGATAATTTCAACTTTTTTAACAAATAAAAAACTGAAAAGTGGGGCGTGCAATATTATTCGGCCCCCTTGCTACAAAGTATTAACTTTGTAGCGCCACCTTTTGCTGCAATAACAGCTGCAAGTCGCTTGGGGTATGTCTCTATCAGTTTTGCACATCGAGAGACTGGAATTCTTGCCCATTCTTCCTGGCAAAACAGCTGGAGCTCAGTGAGGTTGGATGGAGAGCGTTTGTGAGCAGCAGTCTTCAGCTCTTTCCACAGATTCTCGATTGGATTCAGGTCTAGACTTTGACTTGGCCATTCTAACACCTGGATACGTCTATTTGTGAACCTTTCCATTGTAGATTTGGCTTTATGTTTTGGATCACTGTCCTGTTGGAAGATAAATCTCCGTCCCAGTCTCAGGTCTTTTGCAAACTCCAACAGGTTTTCTTCCAGAATGGTCCTGTATTTGGCTCCATCCATCTTCCCATCAATGTTAGCCATCTTCCCTGTCCCTGCTGAAGAAAAGCAGGCCCAAACCATGATGCCGCCACCACCATGTTTGACAGTGGGGATGGTGTGTTCAGGGTGATGAGCTGTGTTGCTTTTACGCCAAACATATCGTTTTGCATTGTGGCCAAAAAGTTCGATTTTGGTTTCATCTTACCAGAGCACCTTCTTCCACATGTTTGGTGTGTCTCCCAGGTGGCTTGTGGCAAACTTTAAACAAGAAATGGCTTTCTTCTTGCCACTCTTCCATAAAGGCCAGATTTGTGCAGTGCACAACTGATAGTTGTCCTATGGACAGACTCTCCCACCTCAGCTGTAGTTATCTGCATTTCATCCAGAGTGATCATGGGCCTCTTGACTGCATCTCTGATCAGTCTTCTCCTTGTTTGAGATGAAAGTTTGGAGGGACGGCCGGGTCTTGGTAGATTTGCAGTGGTCTGATACTCCTTCCATTTCAATATAATTGCTTGCACAGTGCTCCTTGAGATGTTTAAAGCTTGGGAAATCTTTTTGTATCCAAATCCGGCTTTAAACTTCTCCACAACAGTATCTCGGACCTGCCTGGTGTGTTCCTTTGTCTTCATGGTTCTCTCTGCACTTTAAACAGAACCCTGAGACTATCAAAGAGCAGGTGCATTTATACGGAGACTTGATTACACACAGGTGCATTCTATTTATCATCATCAGTCATTTAGGACAACATTGGATCATTCAAAGATCCTCACTGAACTTCTGGACTGAGTTTGCTGCACTGAAAGTAAAGGGGCCGAATAATATTGCACGCCCCACTTTTCAGTTTTTTATTTGTTAAAAAAGTTTAAATTATCCAATACATTTCGTTCCACTTCACGATTGTGTCCCACTTGTTGTTGATTCATAACAAAAAATTAAAATTTTATATCTTTATGTTTGAAGCCTGAAATGTGGCAAAATGTTGAAAGGTTCAAGGGGGCCGAATACTTTCGCAAGGCACTGTAACTGTCTTGTGTGATTGTTTTTATCTTGTTTTGTTTGTATGAACTGCTATACAAATATACTTGTCATGCCTGTTTTAATGACGTCTGAATCTTGAATTGAGAGAGAAAGGCGGCCCTAGATATAACCATACTATACGAAAGGTTATTCATGTGAGTTTAGCTTGACGACAACCAACAGGACAACGGTTTTTTCTTCTGCATGTATGTAGGGACCAATCTGTGAGACGATACAGGGCAACATACTTTGCACTCATTGTTAAAACCATTTCTGAACACAATTCAGCATTCCTTCTTTTCTAGTATAAAAAACAGCCTTGGTATTATTATAGAACATTCCCAAGTAGACCATGCTCAAGGCTGCTTCGAGTGATTCATCAAGGATCAAGGCTCAACCTTAAGTCCCAAACACACAGAAACAAGACAACAATGAGGAATAAATATAAAAGTTCTCTATCTCTTGCAAATGTTTAGCACTTTGATTCAATCAGTGTGGTATCATATAGGGACAGGGCAGGCTGGCAGAATCATTGACCATTGTTACTTGTTGTAAAACATGAAAGTAAATACATTATAATTGTGAATTGTGAATGTGAAAGTAAAAAATTATATTTTTTCTTAGAAGTTGTTTGATTGGTTTTCTGCTGTGTTTCCAGAAGGAATCTGTATCGCACAGTCTCTGAAGATCCCACACGACCGCAAACCATTGTACTTTGATAAAGTCATACGTCTTCTGCTGGAGACTCGATACGCCAGAGCAGTGATCCTGTTCGCCTCCGACGAGGACATCAGGTACTCACTGCAACTCACATAGACGAAAGAACCAGACCTTAAAAAGCAATGTTACTTACCATACTTTACTGTAAAATATATATATATATATAGCTGTGTGTATACATCCGTACATGTTAGCAGCATGAGGGTCTGGGACAAAGGAACTAAAGTGGCAGTGGACAAGTGGTTCTATATTGCTCATTCTGAGATCATTTCTAATTGGTAGGTTTGGGAATATAATCACTATTAAATAATAATCTGGAAAAATCATTCAGACTCCCTCTTAACTCGTTGTGTGCCATTGACGCACTAATAAGTCAAAGCAAATAGCAATGTTGTGTGCCATTGACACATTAATACAATTGCGTTTTCCGCTATTTTCATGTTCCCAGATGTAAATTATATCTAATATGTATGGAGATTAGCTTCTCTGGGTGGTTTGAAAACAGCTAGATCACTTGTTGTGGCTCTTTTTTCTCAGCTTTTTGGTGATTTCAGTAAAACTTCCCTCTACTCGACTGGGGATTACAGGGGAAAGAAACAAGATAGAAACAACATTATTTTTGCTGATTAAAGTAGACAGTCCATTCTTTCAGAATCTGGATTTTAGATATTCATAGTACAAAATATTCTGTGGGTCTTGAAAAATCTATAAAAATCATCAGAAACGGCTGGCAATATGGGAGTACCTGTTCTGAAATATGTTTTCAGGCAATGAGTTAATGTAAAAAGCTCTTTTTCCATAGTGAAGTGTATTGGGGCCTGCCCTCTGACTAATACCTAGAAATCATAGTAGTATTAGTAGTAGTAGTATATTATAACGCTCATGTTTTTGATTTATGCCTGATATGATATCATGTTTGTAAGTGTTTATTTATTCAGTACATTTTACAGACCTAGGTCACCCAAAGCGCTCTGCAATGGTCAGATATCAGAAAGTTGAGTGTAGTAGTAGCAGTTTATTTTTTTGGCCAATTACAGTATACATTAGATAATATACATTTTACAATAAGAATTACAAGAACTACAAAAAATCAAATTTGTGTATATGAAGAATTCTAGTGCTTAATAATGCCTGACCGAAAGGGGTTTTGCTGAAGTTTTTTTCCCCTGTTACAACTGTGACACTGTCTCATATTCTCATATACCAGCGACAGTAACATGTAGCACAACCTTAAACTTTAACAATCAAGAAATCTGTTTTGCGTGATCAAATTCAAGATGGCGCATTACAGTTTTTGATAGATCAGGGACGGTAACATTTCAGATTCATGAATGTGCTGATAACGTGGAACAGACTGTATCTCTAGTTTCTTCATAATGGGTTTGTTTCTGTTGATCATAGGGGCGTCTTGAATGCCAGCAAAAGAGCAGAGCAGGTGGGACATTTCCTGTGGATCGGCTCGGACAGCTGGGGCGCCAAAAACAGTCCCATTTACCAACTGGAGGAGGCTGCAGTGGGAGCGGTTACCATCCTGCCCAAGAGAGCCACCATCAACGGTCAGTGTCCCCCTCAACACACTCTCTCCTCTCTCTCCTGTGACACATCTACTCTTCATCCTGTTTGACCGTGATGTATGGTGGCGAAATACATTGCGAGATGAGAACATTGGCTTCTTCTGGTTTTTAGCTGTGAGGACACCAAACTGCACCAAGTCGTCCAATAATTCTCACCATCATCGCTCTGCCAGAGAGCTGTCATCAGAGCTGTCTCCGATCATTCAAGTTTTGCTTCAGGCAATCGCAATGGAAAAAGTTATCTCTTTTATCTCACTGCACACTTTTTCAATATGTAAAAGCTATAATGATGCATTGGTTTCATATAACGTTTTTTTCAGGACACCCAAAAACACTTTCACTCCAAAAACAATCTGGCAATATATATATTTTTTCCAACAGGTTGCATTTATGTGAAATCACAACATCGCAGAGAACCAATAGTTGAAAATTGTGGTGGAGGGCAGATATCTACGTATATCTGCTACAAGGTCATGGGTTCGAACAGGGCCTTTCTGAGTGCAGTTTGCATGCTCCAGTTTTGTAGGCGTCTCGTATCTGTTATCACCGTGTGTGGAGTGAATAGAACAATATCTGATCTCTGAACATTGTAAAGCGCTTTGGGTGACCTTGGTTTGTAAAAATATGCTATATAAATAAAGATTACTTACTTACTTCTCATTTTAGTTTATAGTGAATTACTAATTAATCCCAGAGCCAATCTACAATCTTATTCATCAGTACAATTCACTATTCAGTTCTCAAATTGTCTCAAAAAAGGCAAAAATGGCTTGGATTTGGTCAAATATATCTTAATTTGACCACATTCTGACTTAAAATAAAAGTGGGAAAGCCCCCTGAGGCAAAGACCCCCCACAGAGACTCTGGTTCCCCACTGAGAGAGACTCATCCCCCATAGATAATTGTGTGTTATGGCGCATATCTCACGGCATTTATCATCGGGTTATGGACATTATTGGAAAAAAGACACTCTGTATAAATGTGTGGTGAGATTAATTGTTAAAACTGCAAAATATTTTGGGTTTTAAAGGTGTTTTGTGTGGGTTCATGGTTGTCAGGGCGATAAGATTAGAAAACCTTTGTTCATACCACAATGTTTTCAGAGAAACCTAATGTTTGCAAATGTATGGCTTCATAAGAACATTATTGTATATATGTATAATCGTTTGAAGTAAGAACATAGAGCAAGAAGTGAGCACGGTTCTTTTTACTGGTTGGTATTAGACTTGTGGTGTTGTTTTGCACAACCTTACACTGCAAAAAAATATATATATATATGAGGTAATAATAGTTTAATCAAGTTTTATTTTTAAAATCTTATTCCGAGAACATTCTTTTAACTTTTTTCATTAAGATAATTGTGTATACATGGATTGAACTGTAATATTCACATAAAGGAGGGACTAAGGACAGCGATGATTCTCTATGACACTCCTCCTCCAACATTTATCAACATCGATCATTTGCTCCATGTGTATGTTACTGCTGCATTTCCTGTGTTTGATTCTCTGATCTGTGTTGGTGAATTGAAAGCTTTATAATGTCCTCAGAGATAACTACTGCTGTGATATACGGCGATACAAGGACACAACGAAAATAAATGAAAGCCTACCAGACTCATGAGTAATTCTACTATAATATTATTCCATATTTTGTCATGATTAAAACTCCAGTTCCCACTGTCAACAATGTTCCCACCTTTAAACCATGGCCATGAGTTCACAAAGACAGTTTTAATTATTGCATGCCCTGTGCTGCTCAATATGCCCTGGTGGGATGAATAAAGTAGTCTGAATCTGAATGTAAATATGTATAAATATAGATTGTATATAACTACTTAAACAAATGTTTCCCAAAAGAGTCCTCCCAACTCTTCGAGATTAATAAAATGTATATTGTTGCATCGTCTTTGGGGACTGAACGGCAGCTTATCCAACACATTGGGATAATGAGTGTGAAGGGAATAAACTCAAATTAAGAAGAGATTAGTGAGCATGCACCATTGCTTTTGTCATCGTCCCTTATTGTTAAGTACCTGTTCTGACTGAGGCCAGATGTTGTTGTAATCAATGGGTTTTCCATGTGTAGCAAAGGGGGATTATAGAAAATAACATTTATCGAAGCAAAGTAGAAAGCTTTGACAAGGCCCTTTTTAAAGATGTATTGTGTATTTTTTTTTATTAAGTTATACAATAAAGGTAATGGGCTTTATAATGTGATGAACATTTTAGATAACGAATTATAAATCTTTATTTGTAAAGCACTTTTGAAAAACAATGTTTACAAAGCAGCATAAAGCAGTAAAAATGGTCAGTAAAACGGTCAGATCAAAATGATGTACAGCAGAATGAAGCAGACAGACAACAGCAAAGACAATTCAATTCAGTTTATTTTTGTATAACCCTAAATCACAACGGTTCTTATCTCGGAGGACTTTTTACAGCTGCTGAATTTGCCAAAACAGATCAGAGAATCAAGCAGTTCAAACACAAGAAATGCAATGATAATGGTCCATAAGGGGCAGAGACCAATGTCCATGAATGTCCACAAATGTCCATAAATGTCCATAAATGTGTGTTGAGTGTCCTGGGTCATCACCTCCGTCCTTTGTTAGACCCTCCTGCATTGGTGTGAAAAACCGCTCACATTTTAACAACATAATCTCTTTAATAATTGTTGTCAGCGCTAGTTCAAACTACAGGTTATCTGGACATCAACACACACAGACAATTTACAGACATGTTCAGCCTGGGTCTCGGCAGATGTAAAGCAAATAACCAAGAGTGAGCAAAGGAGCTCTGGTCTTATACCAGACTAACCAAAAGCAGATGTCTCTGGCTTACAAAACTTCTCGTGTTTCACTCGTGGGGGATGGGTAGAATGCTGCTGACACATTCTACACATGTAGGTTAACCCAAGGCTGTCAAAACTTGAATATATTCTAATTCATTTTAATGAAAACCCAACAATAATTCCACTATCAATCGGCAAGAAACATATCTGAAACCTTGTGAAACCTCGAGAGACCCACGTTGAGAGAGGGATCCGCTCCCACAGACGGACAGCTGTGGCTCCAGGACTCAGACAAAGTGGATCAGTAAAACTCGACACATGGAGTTTAAAACTAGTAGTTTTAAGCCAATCTGTAAAAATGGGTTATGAAAAGTGATTTGAAAGAGGTAACTGATGGTGCAAGCCTTATCTCCTCAGGCAGGTCGTCTCAGAGGTCGAGGAGCCCAGAGAAGGCTAAATCACCCTTCGTCCGGAGCCTCGATCTCGGTGCAGCCAACAGGGGCCTGCCTGAGGATCTAAGGCAGCAGAAGGGGAAGGGCTTGTAGGGGTTTAAGTTCTGTGATCTAGAATTCGACAATAACAAGCTTACAGGCTATTTTTGTTTATGTAATACAACATAAATATGAAACAAAAGTAAACATAAATTAACACACAGAGGCATGATTGTACTTTCGAGACAGAGCTGGTGGAAAAATAGTGTTATGTTCGAAATTTGATTTTCCTGTTAAAGTGATTGTCTGGAGTTTGTCAGAAAGAGAGAGAGAGGTACTTGATTTGAAAAAAACCACGCAAGCTTCCTCCCCCTTCCTTTCTGATTGGTCTACCCCTGCGTTTCCGTAACACTTTGAAATGTTAATCAGAGAACACAATATACATATACATTATTAATACACATGCACGGAGGTTTTCAGAATTATATGTTAACGTTTTCATGAAAAATGCACAAACCCGGAACAAGCTATTATCATATTATAGGACACATCTGCAGAGGATCTGATTATGGATATAGGTTCAGTATATAAATGATTATGGATAATCAATTTTACACATTTCCTAAAATTTGTCATTCATTTAGAGTTACAGACTATCACTTTAAAGGATTGTTTTGTGCAAAGTGAATTTATAAAGGTGGCTTTGAATCATTTTAGTGGTTTTACAGTTTAAATTATGATATATTGTTTTATCTCATCTTGAATTTAACATGGAACCTGGCCACCCCCACATGGATTAGTTGTTTATTGTCTGTTGATAATTCCCAGTCTGTCCAGCAGAAATACTGCGTCAAAAAAGTCAGATAAGTGAGGTATTGATCCAGAGTTGAGCCTCACATTGAACTTCAATCAGATGCAAAATCCGATCCTGAGTTGGAGATCCAACAAACGGCTGCTAGTGTCATAATACCAGATCTGTGGTTTTGTGCCTGTATATCCTCCTATATCCTCCTGCTGGTCCCAGAGTGTTGACTAAGCAGGATGAGGCAACATTTAAGATTCATGCAGCTTAAATTTGGAAATTTCACTGTCTTCTTGAAAAAGTGAGTCAGGCTTCTTCTCTGACAATGTTCAAATCCAAGTTAAAAACATAAATGTTTAGCTGTGCTCTGAAAGTTTGCAGCTAATTCGACTATTCATGTTTGGATTCGTTAAAGTCCTTGGCCTTTCATCACACAGACTTCTTCTATGTCATTTCCCAATCTTGACGAATTAAAGTTATATAATGCCTTGAAAAAAGTAAGAAGGTTCTTGGTTTAATGTATGACCCTGAACACAACGATATGCAACACAAAACTGTGAGTGCAACAGCGCCACCTACAGGCAGTTGAAGGCTTTGTGTTCTTGAATCCCATCTAGTTTTTTTTAATCACAAAGACTCCTACCATGTCATTTCTCCATCTGGATCGATTGAAGTTATATAACAATTGAAAGGTGGGTGGGGATTTTCTCCATGATAATGCTCTCTTGGAAACAGACTCAGACCTACAGAGCTGAAACTCACATCACTTATAGTTGGTAATGGGCTGAAAGTAATGGTGTGAAAATACACACCTAATGTCTCTAAACTCTTCCGATCCTCACCAAAGTCGTGCAATTCATATCTTCAATCAATTCAGACATCTGTCTGTCTGTGTGTGCGTGTGTGTCTGCGTATGTGTGTGTGTCTCTGTGTGTGTGTGCTTACGTGTGTGCATT